TTGTTATTGTTATTGTTATTGTTATTGTTATTGTTATTGTTATTGTTATTGTTATTGTTATTGTTATTTTGTGCAAATGAGCCCGTAAAACCAAAACCGTATTATTTAAGAAAACAACTAGTCATTTGAAGAGACTGCAGTGCGTCCACGGTGAAAGTACTGCTTTGCGCGACAACATCGGATGTGGGAAGAAGCTACTTGTTGTAATTTCTAGGGTTTTAAGGCTTCTCGTTACCTAATTTTTGTCCGAAGTAGTCGCTACCCTAACCAGTGGTTACAGGTAGTTACAGTCCTGAAAGTGGTCGCAGCTGTTGCGGCAAACAGGCGATATTGTTTTGTTCAAAACTGGATCTTAAAGACTGTTTTCATTGGCTTAGCCAATATGGCGCAGTTATACCATGCTCTACAAATACGGTAAGTGTTCGCGTGAGCTTTTGGAGCGCTTTTATTTTAGTTTTCTACATTTTGAGGGCGTTTTTAATAAAACAATTATTCCATTTGCGCTTGTTGAATGTGAGATGAATATAAATTTAAGTAACTTGTCGGTCGAATTTTGGTAGGATCGCGGGCGCACCGCAACACCCTCGGCTGGAAAAAAGAGTCTCAGACTTTTGAAGACAAACAACAATAGACTTCATACATTTTTTTGACCGATCAGATCTCTTGTAGATCCTACGTTGGCAGCGTTTATCGTATACAGTCCCTTGCAGTTTCTGATTCCTCAGACTTTTGGCTGCATTTGTCGTTCTCTCTGTTACAGTCAAACTTCCCTTGGCGAACATCTCTTCTAGCGATCACCTCCAGTTTGTCTCCAAACTACGGAAATTTTGGTCAAACCACTGTTGTGATCGGAGTCTCTGGTAAACCATCTCTCATGGAGGCGACCGCTTGCGACCGCGTGGCGTTGACCTCGCGGAATACTGGAGACTAGTAGTTCCAGGCTCTCTCTAGATCTGAGTATTCGCCTGTAATGTCGCCTGTAAGAAATTTGACAAAAATATCTCGTGACTTTATCGTGACAGACGACAGCACAGCGGAGCTGAAGCGACAACTTTCAATCAGGAAAGTGAAACGAACGGAGTGGCTTCCTTTGTTTTCAGCAGAAAATGGCTACTTTGTTCTTTTTTGTGACCTTTCTCTGCCTGAGTGCAGTCTTTGAGAGCAAGTTTGGAGAAGCAGTGAAAGATGAAGATAAATTACAGGTCCATCTTGTAGCCCACACTCATGATGACGTTGGCTGGTTGAAAACTGTCGACGAGTATTTTTATGGCGCAAATAATTCCATTCAGCACGCTGGAGTGCAGTACATTTTGGACTCTGTTATCCCTCAGTTGAGTGCAAACCGGACAAAGCGATTTATTTACGTGGAAATTGCGTTCTTCGAGCGCTGGTGGAAAGAGCAAAACAGAGCCATGCGTAGGGAAGTGAGGAAACTGGTTAAAGAGAAAAGGCTGGAGTTTATAAACGCTGGATGGTGTATGAACGACGAGGCGGCAACACATTACAATGCGATCATTGATCAAATGACTTATGGACTGAATTTCGTGCAGAGGACATTTGGATCGGATGCAAGACCTCGCGTAGCTTGGCACATCGATCCATTTGGTCACTCGTCCGAACAAGCATCACTCTTTGCTCAGATGTCATTCGATGCTTTCTTCCTGGGTAGAATCGACTATGCAGATAAAAAGCTTCGCCTCGAGCAACAGAGAATGGAGTTGGTCTGGAGAGGGAGCAGAAATCTTGGACAAGATTCTGATATTTTTGCAGGGGTGCTCTATAACGTCTATGCCCCTCCGCGTGGATTTTGTTACGACCAATCATGCAACGATACCCCGGTACAAGACGATCCGAGACTCTTTGATCTCAACGTCAATGAAACTGTAGAAAGATTTGTGAATGTAACATGCAAACAAGCATCGCAGTATAAAACAAACCACATCATATTGACCATGGGTGAGGATTTCCAGTACGAGAATGCCAACACGTGGTACAAAAATTTGGACAAACTCATCAGATATCTGAAAGAAGTAAGTATAATGCACAGAATGAGAGTTTGACGTAAGCATTTTTTTTTGCCCTGGTTCGAGCGATTCCTGGCTCCCAGGCTCCTTTCATTGCTGCTTAATGGTGACTAACTTGTCACGTAACGAAAAGAGTTTTAGCATGCTTGTTTTTCTATAGCCTGCGTAGCAGACGTTTCATATTCATTTTCCAGGCAAGGAGAACGAGAAAGCGAGGAAGCAAACGAGTGCGCCTTGGACTGAACATAAAATGGGGAGAAGTGGGGATGGGGTGAGAAAAAAAAAAGGAGGAGAAGGGGAACGGGGTGGGGAGGAAAGTAGACCTTAATTTTTTGCCCCAATCTCCTCCCCCTGCGCCTTATTTTTCCCTACTCGCTCGCAGTTTCGTTACCTTCGCGTGCTTTTGGAAATGAACGAATGAATGAATTTTCTAGATCTACCGCAACATTTTCTACAGCCTCTATCCGTATCCACACGTGAAAACCGATCTCCTGTCCATTTCATGTAGTTTCCCTTGTGACCCGGGATAGCAAGCCTTTCATGTGATCCGGACTAACTTGTCATATACCAGGGCGCTGACCGGGGAGAAAATCTCTCCGTAGCCGCTATAACCTGTCATATACAAAGGGGCTGACCGGAGAGGAAAGCTCTCGGTAGCCGCTATATCATTAAATGTTAACTATTTATACTACGGAGTCATCATTCCAAGAAACGGTACGTCAGTCCTACTTTTCAGTTAAGGTTACCCATGTCTCCAGGCTGAAGGAGTGAAGGAGTTTGGATTTCAAGGTAGATACTGCAATCTCGTATAACAGTTAAAGGTTATAAAATTATCCACAGTACAATGGTTTCAGTTTCTTTCTATTTGGAGCATTCCGTACTATTCCATGACCCAATTAAATGAGTTATCTAATGTGAAGTTTATATGAAATAATTCATATATGAACTGCGGTAGTAGATGAAAGTGAAGAATGATCATCGCAGCAGATTTTCGAATTTGGGGAATGTGTGGCTTCATAGCTCAGTTGGTAGAGCATCGCACCGGTATCGCGGAGGTCACGGGTTCGAATCCCGTTGAAGCGCTGATTTTTTCAAGCTTCTTCTTTCCAATTGCTTAAATTCGAAAATCTGCTGCGATGATCATTCTTCACTTTGAGTTATCTAAGTAAGCGTCTTTTTCTCTAAGAGCTCTAACTCGAAGCGATTAATTTAAGCGAGAAAACCTGATTATTTCTGAAAAAAAGTCGCCCTGTTTGAGTATCTCGATTAGTTTAAAGTTCGTAAAATATTGCCATTGAGCAACAAAGCCTGAGTGAAGTCTTGCGAATACTGAGCGGCCGTAACCGTGAAAGCTTTGAGCATTTTGAAGTCCTAATACGGTTCTTGTTCCGGGATTGTTTGTCCGTGTTCAAGATCATTCCAACAAAATCCTTGTGAATATAAGCCTGATAAGCTCTTCAAAGATCGCTGTTGGTTCAACAAGAATTTCGAGGAAACAACCCACAGAATCAATAAAATCTTCAATACCATAACCTTTCGTCAATGGTGACTCGATTTCAAGATGGTTTTCTTTAAAAGTTTGTCATGTAAACTTGACATTTGAGCGAAAATAGATCAAATTTGGCTTTTGAAGGCACTTCCTTGAGCTTACTTGGTATTCACGTGAGGAGGAAATCGAAAATGGCAAAGTTTCGCAAACTACAGACAATGTACTGCAGACGAACAACCGAGAGGTCGAACCTGTGGTGACTTACTGGAGCTGGTCCTTTACGAGAGGTCAGCCTGCATGTAGGGAGTGTAACTTTTAATTGCGACCGCTAATCGCGCGTTATTATTATTATTATTATTATTATTATT